GTGATTTAACATGGCTAGGAAGATGGGTATTTCCAAATGAGACTAGGGTATTTTCAGATGACTTCGCAGCTGCAGTGTCTGAGAGGGCTGGGCATCCTTTATTTGAATATCAAAGCTCTGTTTAAGTAATTTGAAACTTTTTGGTGCTAATTGTATTCTGTTGGCTGATTAGTAAAAATATTTCAGGACTGTGTAGCTGCAGTGAAATTTATTACACCAAGTATATTTGAAAGAGTGGTGCAAAATGAAGGTGATTATCTCCCCTTCCTCCCCCCAATTTAGTAATAATCTGAAGTATCTTTTATCTCCCTATTTTGAACCTATTCTGCAACATCTTGTTGCCACTTGCATTTGCTCACTAAGTATTATGGTCTGAGCATAACTGTGGATTTAACAGGGAACTTCTAAGGAAACTTCTACGAAGTTTTGTTGTGGTTGCCTTTAGTTTGGAAACAAGCTAGCAACATCAATGAGAAGGGACTGTTCCTATTTCGCAAATCATCATCTGTTGTTGGAAAACTCAAATTAGGCTATAGCCAATATGAGGAGTTACATTTTTGACCTTCTGAGGATGGTTGCTTATCTGGCCTGTTTAATTTAGGGAGGAAGGAGCAGAAAACTAAAGATGCAGAAAATGCATGTTGAGAGTGGGGAAGATATGTTTGTTGAAAGCATTCAAAAACTTCTTGTTGCTCTTGAAAATTGAACTTGTGGTTTGTTCTGAAAAACTGTCTATGTGTGATTGAGGGGGAAGCTCACAGTTCAGGGAAGGACTGTAAAGAAATATTCAGGGAGAATAGGAAGATAACTTTTTGTGTTCATCTTCCTGATGTCATGAAATGCTTTTTGTGAAGAAAGTGGTAGTCGTCTTAAAGTAGTTATGAACTGCTTTGCTAAACAAGACGGTCATGTAATATCAGTTTGTATCCTAATTAGCTGCAAGTCTCAGTTTAAACTTCAGTATTGTGTCACGGAGTCCAGAACGCTGTGCTTTGTTGTTGAAGGGAAGCATCGAATATTGTAACTGAGGCTAGGCTAGATAGATAGCTGTCTAATGCATGCATTGCCAGGATTAACGTCTTGTTACTGAATGACACTCTCATGGTAATATATGTGTTATATATAATGTAGAGCCAAAACTTTTGAGGTCTCTGGCAAACTTCTGACTTTTTTTTTTTTTAAGGGATCAGTAAAATGATAAAATTAAGATCTTAGTTTGTTCTTATTACTGGAGTGAGAGATCTGTTGTTCCTCTTTGTCCTCCATGAAAGACGAGAAAATCAGAGTATGCGTGTGTGTGTTTAGACTTACGTATAGAGGACACTGACTGCTCCTAAAGCAGATAGAACTTAATTTTTTTTATTGATATTGCATCAACCATGTTTAGAGAGTAGCTGCATCTAAAAAGGCAGTGAGATACTCTTTCATGTTATACAGGCTTTGTCCAGTACTGATTAGAAGATGGTGGAGGTTTCCCGTAGCTATTTGAAAATTAAATCGAACCATTCTTAATTATGCAGTGACAGACGTCTGTGCAGAGAGAAGATGGCAGTTTTTGTGCATGCTTCAGCTGTTCAATGGGAATGAAAGTGCTGAATTTTGAAGTACTTGGTAATATTTGTATACAAACTTATAGTAAATATTTTCTTATCTTTTGTTATTGCTGTAGGAGATGTGCTTGGTTATATAATGGAAAATGGTAGAAAGCTTTACTATGAAACACTTCAGATCAGACAGTAAAGCAATAGGGGAAAAAAAGACAAGTTGATTATTGTTTGGAAAGGGCATCATAAGAAAACCAGCTTGCCTTAAACTTACGTGCTTTTTGGCTGGCTGACTGTGAGGAATGTTTATGACCAGATTGTGTTGTTTGACCTGGAAACTCTTAAAATGAATCCTAAAGCTTTGCATCATGATAGAATACAGTATTTTGGATTTTAATCAAGATAGAATAGCTTGTTTCTTCCCTTCTATCTCATTTGGGTTGAAGGGGAAAGTTACTTTTGTTTTTTTAATGGACAACTTTTTGTTTGTTTGTTTTTAAACCTTTTTGTAAGCAAAGGAAGGTTGTGGATGGGTGGCGTGGACAGGCTGGTACTAGTATCTTATTACACCTAAAGGCAAGTGTGCCAGAGGGATGAAAACATGGGGATATAAAGGCTTGATTGACACCAGAAGATGAACAAGATGGGTGTCCCTGAGGGTGTTTTTTATTTCCTAGGATAGTATTCTAAAGTTCATAGGTTTATAACAAAGGTTGTAATTACTAGAACAGATGTTACTCTTATTGATAAACTTTTAAATGGGATCATAATAATGTATTTCTATTTTTGTACACTGTGGAATCTCACCTTTTCTCCCTTCCTCCTTTTTGCATTGAAAACAAGTTGAATTTACTCTCTGCAATTGGTTGTTACAAAGCCCATAAAAAGAATTTTGCCAGGTAAATTCTACAGCAGCACTTTGAAATATGTTGAGCAGTATTTTTCTTCTTATCCCAGAAGCATATCCTAGACTATATTTATGTCTGTTATTTTATTGTGGGGTGTACTTTGAAGGAAAAACAAGTCTGTTACTAGTAAAATAGCCTGGGAAACTTTTTTACTACTATTATTCTATTTGGCATCACAGGAAATTCCAGTTACTGCAGTGATACTGATGTTAAAATGAACATTGGAAACACTAACGAAATAAGTAAGAATTAACTGGCTCGTACTCCAAGTACTGAATGAAAAGATTGTTTTGCACTTAGTGTTTTCATTGCAGGACTTCAACACGATGTTTCCTGTCCAGGAGTGACAATGATCAGTTTGGCTGTAATAATGAAACATTTGGCTGAACAAAGGGTAGTATTGGGCAAGAGGGATGATGCATGAGAACTGATACTTCTAGCGTATGTGCTGGCCAACTCTGTTCTAGTTTTCTGCTCATAGCTTTAGTTTGATTCTGTGCCTATATTTTTACTGACTAAGTATTACTTCATTATAATGTAAAATACTTGAATGTTTAGGAGAACTACCCCTCTAGATTGCTATTCAAAGTGTAGCGGAGTTGGTAAGTACAGCATTTGATGCTTAGTTAAGAAAATATAGTATGCTTTGGAGCATGCTGGAAAGTGATTGAAAGTGTTGTCTGTTATATTGGTGTTACGGTAGTCAGAGGTCTGGCAAAACTTGAATATATTTCGTCGGGCTATTTGAAGGGATGTGTAAATGCCTGCTTAGTTGATGGCTGAAATAATAATTCTTTGGGTACCAGAGCAAAGTCAGAGCAAGGTTAAGCTATATAAATGGAAGTATTGCAGTGAATACAATGATGGTTTCCCAGCATATGTAACTTCTAATGTCTGGCTTTGTGAGAGGTATTTCCCACCCACCCCCCAACAAACAAACAAAAACTCACCAGCTCCCCAGGCCTCCCCCCGCCCCAAAAAAAAAAAAAAAAAAAACCAAAAAAGAAAAAAAAAAAAAAAAAAAATCAGAAATGCCATGTGGCTCTCAAAAGAAACTGAGTGTCTCTGGGGCAGCATACTTGCTGAACAAGCAGATGTCAAGGTCTGAATGAAAGTTCTCCTGTTATTTCTAGCTGTTCTCTATAATTTATCTTTCAGGATGTTCTGGTGATACTGCACACTTTCTGTAGTTGAACAGGATCACGCTAAACCCCTGATTTCTACCAAACTTTCCCTCTTAGTATTCTTTGATAATCGGCACCTGTGAACATCGAAGTGCTTAGCCAAAAGAGCAACTGTATTAGCTGTTGCTATAGGAAAATGTATGTGGTTTTATTTAAGCTGTCACCATTTATATGTGCTGTAGTAAAGTGTCTTCTACAACTGTATGACTGACAACATCTAGAATACTGTTGGTTTCCGTATTTCAATGCAAACTTCTAAATTTTAAAGCCAAAGAAGCTACCTTGTTGGATTCAGTTTGTACAAAGGTCTGTAAATCCTGGGTTTTAAGATCGTATTCCTCTTAAGGGGGAGAATTCTATTTCTGGATGATATTCAAAGTTATGTGGTTTGGGGTTTTTTTAGTATGTATCGTGTAATTAACTTGTATTATGCTCAGTTGTTCCAGCTGGGTTTGCGAGGGCAACACATTGCGATATTTCTAGGGTTATTTCTGCATATGCGCCCAGTCATACACACAGTCTTTGGTTTAGGCAACATGAACTTCATGAAAATAGTATCTGTTTTTGTGCCTGTTTTTACATCGGGTAAGAGAGAGAGACTTAACAATACATTTCTTGGGAATCTCTTGGGCAAGGGTATTTGGCATAGGCCAAGATGCTAGGTTTTGCATGGTTTCAGGCCTTGGGCTTTTTTAGAGTTTCTAAGAGTGGTTTAAAAATAAATTCATAAAGAAAGGGCCTTTTCCAAAGAAGCTGTTTTGTCCTTGTCCACCTAAGTTTAAGTGAGCACTGAATGTCTGGTAGATGGCAGTGGAACGAAGACAGAAGTTATCCCTGGCAAGGATTCAAGTTACAAAACCCTAAGTTAAAATATTACTCTCTCTTAATTTGGTACCATTGCTGTGGATTTAGTTATGAATCCAGGAGTTAATCTGGATATCTGAAAATTTTATAGACTAGTTGCATATGACACTAAATTCTAAAGAATGATGCGGTGGATAACGAAATAAAATTATATTGCTTTGTACTCATTAGAGAGCATTTCCTAGCCTGTATCATTTCAGGTTTTTTCTTTTGCCTATAGACGGTCTTGCCTAAGAATTCTTGTTTCATGTTGCCTAATCTGGTGACCTGTCTGATAGTAATCTGATAGTAGTTGGTATCGCTGACTTCAAAACAAGAAGTTCATCTTCTAAAAGTTACGGCATGAAGAGCTGTTATAGTCCTCATCGTTTTGCAGAATAAATAGAATTATATAAATGCTTAATGCTTCTTTAGAGACCAGTAAAAAGTGTTTTATATCTTTATTTATCCAGGGAGAGGGGAATTGATATATGGATCTTTAATGATAATTTTATCTCTCTCTCTCTCTTTTACAGCTATCGAGTGCAAATCCTGTGTATGAGAAATTTTATCGACAGGTATGTATGTTCTTGTTGAGAGAACAAACTTTATTTTGTATTTAAAGGAAAGAGTATTCTTTTGCTATGGACTTCAGCATGGCCAACAGTGTGTAAACAATAAAAGTTCATGGAAAATTATTCTACTTTAAAATATATTTTTATAATAACTAACACTTAGGTCTGAGCTATATCAGTATAAATTTAATATTGGTTGTAAGATGACTTATTTAATTTGCTAGGGAACTGCCAGGTATGTATAACTTGCATCACTTTACAGTGATGTTACTGTAAAAGCTAACAGACTGTTAGCTTTTGGAGTGGAGTAAATTCTTGCAAAATACCGTATTGATATGTTCTTTGCTCCTTTTTACAAGCGAAGCTGAATTTCTTGTGTTTGTAGTGCAATTAGTGTTATATAAGAGTTGCATCTCTCTGAGAGTGTCCCCAGAGGTTCTTACAGGATGCTGTAAGGAGTCAAATTTGGATGAAAGGCCACTGAATGCCAAAAGAATGCATGTAGTTCTTGCAGCTTCACTCAACAGATACAAATCTTTTTACTTTATAATGTAAAAATAAAATATAATATATATAAAAATAAAATATAACAATATATAAATTTTATTTACCATCTTTTATATTTAGGCCCAGCAAAAATACAGTGTATTAATTCCTATAAATACAGCTCTTTTGAAAAATAGCTGTTTCAACTACTCTATTATAGCAATATTTTGTATCATGTGCATAATATATGTTATTTTAAAAAAGACCTGATGAGTAATTGATGAATCATGTAAAAACCAACCTGTAGGAAGTTTTTTCTCCTTTGTGCAACTGGTAATGTTCCTGTCTGTTTGTCCTAAGACAGGATATAGTGTATATGACCTCTTTATTTAGGAACTTCTTTTGGGTGTCAACATTAGAATGTAAGCTTATCTGCTGGGGAAGAGAGAAGACCATGATTTCTATTCACGCTCTATTTTTGGATTATGCTTGGAGGATTAGTCCCATTACTAAGTGTGTAAAACAGCAGTTAAAGTGTATCAGCCTATGATGCCTGGAAAGCTTGAGCCTTCTATTCTACTTTAACAAGGGTTTTTCTCCACTACAGGAGAGTAGCAGTTTTGAAATTGCCAAACAAGAGAGAGTTTACCTTGATCTAGGTTCGGATGGCTCCTGAAGGTTGAAGGAGAAAGTATCACCCTCACAGTTTTCCTTCAATATGGTGGACAAATCCACTGTGTGTCTATCTCTAGGCATTGGATTAAAAGCCTTAGGAGAATCCCATATTCTGGTGTTCATTATAAGGTCAGAAGAAAAGGTTTCCTAGCTCAATACTACTATCACTGTCATGTATCATCTTTGCTACATGCCGGTCTGTCTCTTCCTCCTGATTGCAATTGCTTAACCACTGATGTGTGAAGCAAAAAGTTGGATAAAGAAACTGAATTTGAGCACAAATGTGATACTGGGTTCCTAAGTCACTTAACATCTTGCATTCATTGGGATATATAGCCTAGTGAAATTGGAGCACTATTTGTTGTCCAGCAGTCTCAGTAGTATACAGGAACAGGGATTCTTTAAACATGATGTTACTGTTAGTGAAGTTGTGCCAATGGATTTGTTTTTCAGAGGATTAATTTTCTGACTTGCTCTGCCAAACTCTTTTCTGCAAGCATTTGTCCTAAAGAATAGCTTTTGAATGTACCGTGTCTAAATCCACTAGATAACTTTTTCCTTCCCTCCCTTAAATAAGGAGATGTCAACTTTCAGAATAGAAATGTTAGAAAGACATTTCCCACTTTGTCCTATGGTGCTGGTAGAGCATGTTTTTATTCTTTCATACCAAAAGCACTTCAGAGCATTCCATGCGACTTGAGAAGAAATTCATCACCTGAAATAGCTCTCATGCTTAGTACACTTCTGGTTCTATCACAAACTTAAAATAATTCATCTTGCATAACGTGTGTTGTGAAATGGGTATAAATCCCAGGCTTTGTACTTAGAATGAGATTGAAATCTTAACCTTTCAATGGGGACACTTTTTTTTCAAATAGAAGTTTTTCTGATTAACTTTTTATAGACTGACTCTCAAAATAGGGTGAGATTAAAGGATAAATTTAAATATGTGTGATAAAGTAATAGGAAATTACTTAAGCATGTGATGCAGTGTAGCAGGTAAGCAGTATGCCTGAGCTGCTGATGAAATCTTAATGAATCCTGAGTTGAAGTATGTCCCACTGTTACCTTATGACCTAATGACGTTAGATGTATGTTTTTAACTTTTAATCATTTCTGGCCCTACAAAAAACAATTTGCAGCAAGAGCGTTGTTGGCCAATACAGCTATGAAAATTTGCACATCAGAGAAAAACCTCTACCAAGCTGGTATATTACTGACAAACACCAGTGATCTTCTCAGCATGATAGTCAAACATAAGCCAGCTTTCTGCACTATTTTAATGCTTAGTAAGTACCCCCATCCCAGCATGCAAGACTCAGTAATTTGTAAAGAAATTGAAATCAGCCCTTTACAAAAAAAAAAGTTACAAAAATTTAGGGAATTAGTTGCACAAAAAGAAACTGTATCCATATCGGGTTAAATAAGAATCCTGTTTAAATCCCTTAAAGTCACCTTCTGCTGGGTTGGAGGTGAGGAAATTAAAAAAAAACAAAAACAAAAACAACAAACAACCAACCCACGGCTGATACCATGTTGCTTTGTGACTTTCCCAAAAGAGTGGAAAAGTCCTAGGCTAGAGGTTTTCTGAGTGGATGCCAAGATTACTGTGCTTGTGTGCAAGGTCAACTCCAGTAACGGAAAAGGGGATTTGATGCAGTGTCTCAGTAACTTATTGCCTGTAATGTGAACAGCTCTCCCATACAGACTGAATTAGATATTTTAAAAATTTGAGGAGCAGGCTAACTACAAGGCTGTAGTGTTTGTAATTTTATTACCCTGATCAGGGAATCCTCAATTATAGGAAGCAACCCCTCCTAATTAAAATCATATTAGTTATGTTGAAAACAAAAGATGTTTCCGCTTTTGTATTAAATGATGCTATTGGGATTGCTTTCAGAGTTTTTTTGTTCACTTTTAGAAGCAGAAGTGTCTACAGACAACCTTCATCTGCTGCAGCATGCTTTCCAAATGATAAATTCTCCACAGTCTTTCATTAGCTAGTTCTAAACCCATGGTTGGGAGCTGATTGCTTTGAGCATCTTGTGTGTGCTGCACCTGTGAGCTTGGAAGGTTGGTCTTATGTTCCAAACAAAATACTAAATATAGTCTTTGTTTAAGTCCAAAGCTATGAGACTGTAAATGATGCAATGCATCATCATCATCATCAAGTGCTTTGCTGTATATTCCCAACCTTGCTGTTCTATCTGAAGCACTAGTTCTCACTAGACATTCTCAGGCTATTTAAAAGACAGCCATGATGACTCAGTGTTCAGCAAGTGCTCAAAAAGCATTGATCTTCAAAAGGGGGTACTGAGAAATCTAATGCTAACATCAAGTTATTCTTTCAGTGCATGTACTTCAGTTTTCCATGTATGCTCATTTATTTGTACGATTTCAGTTTTGCTTCTCTTTCTCTCCAGGAAGTGTGGAAAGTAAGTGACCTGTTGCCTCTTTCCTGTCCTTTGAAATGTTTATCATGTCGCAAATTCTTCAGAGTTTCAGGGTGTCTCAGCTGATCATAGATGGGAAGACTCTGTTTTTGAAGATAATATTATATAATTTTTATTTACAAAATGTAATATATTATTTGATCTCTAGATCTTGTAGGACCTGTACAGCTACCTGTCTGTTGTAGTAAGCCTGACAGTTTGAACTGACTGAAGATACCCTTAGTCCTCTTCTCCATACTGTGCCCTTTTTAGGCATCCTTTTGCTTTAGGGTTTCAAAGACTCGCAGCTTTTCCTCTATTTTCCTTGTCCTCGTGTATGTGACGTTAGTTTTACTGCTTGTTTCTTCCACCTGAAGGTATAGCTGAGGTACTGTTTTTGTTCAGGAGCTTGTATAACCATCTATTTTAATTATCTCCCTGTTGATCCAGGGAGGAATGCATGCTGGTAGATATTCTGCCAAAACTACCACCAAATTCTTCATTCTGTAAATAAGTTTCACTTTAGGGAGTAAGCATTTTCCTCTTCTAGGGTGGTAAAGGTATCTTCAAGCAGAGCCTTCTTTTTCAGACGGTAACAGTAATGAGTTCAGAGCTGGACAATTAAATGTAATCAACGCTGGGACTTCTGTGTCCTTACAAATCAAATGTTCTGCAGGCATCAAGAAGAAAATCCTGTGATTACAAAGGGCTAATTAGATAAGTTCAAATGATGACCTAATGTGAACAAGCTTCCCTATCTACTGCATAACTTGAGAAATTCTTGGGCCTTTGTCTGTACTTGAAACTTTCTACTGGAGACCTTGAAATCCAGGCATAATAAATGGTTAGAAGCTTAAAGCAGTGCAAATTTAATTGCTTGCATATGTATTAGTGTTTTTTTCCTGTTTTTAAGTGGAATTAATCTAAATCTTCATTGATGATCTATAAGAGTAAGCTTGTGTTGGGGTGCTGGCTTGTGACTTGGGAGACCTGTGTTACTTTCCTCGCTCCTGCCCCAAACCGGGTCATCTAGGCAAAATTCTTATTCTCCCTGTGACTTAGTTGCCTACTGACAGATGGGGATAATAGTGTATTTTTCTGGTATGTTGTAAAACATATTGTAGTGTGAAAGATTCTTAGATATATATGCATAATATATCTTAAATTTGGCAGTGTTAGTTTAAGATACCAATTTCCAAAGCCTGCCTATTAATATTAAATCTGGAGCAACTAGTTCAAAATATCTTACTTCTAATGTAACATGGTTTTTAATGAAAGGGAGTTTTTCTTTTTTTAGAAAAAGTCTGAAGGTTGTTCTCAAAGTGACTATGTTAACTTGAGCATTCTTCTTTGCTAGCTTTTTGAGAGCCTGTGTAAAGAGCATCAATTCAAAAGCTAGTTTGTCATGCAGGTTTTTTTTAATCCCCCCAGGTTGATTCTGCTAATGCTGGAAGAGTGTTAGCTTCTGATGCAGCTGTTTTCTTGAAAAAGTCTGGATTGACAGATTTGATACTTGGAAAGGTATTTAATGACAATTATTTAATTATCCTGTCTCTTGCTTCAGTTAGTATCCTGTGTAAATTAAAATACTTAGTGGTACTACAGGATATGTGATCTTCTCTAATGTGTTCTCAGTTCTGCTATCCAGTAGTTTCCAACTTCAAGTATCCTTGATTATTCTACTATGTATGTAGTTCGTGGTGGAAATTAAAACAATATTTAAATTTGTCACCGCAAATAAGTGCTATCATGAAAGTTAAGACCTGAACTTTCATCCAAGAATGCATTGTTAAATGGAGTGAGAACTTGTCAGCTTCCTCTCAGTGCTGTGGAACACTTCGTCTACTGTTTTTATGTTTTAGATTTGGGACTTAGCTGACACTGATGGCAAAGGTATCCTGAACAAACAGGTATGATTATTTATATGATGTATGAGGTTACTCTAACCGTTAGCAAGCCTTGAAATAAGATAAAAGTTAAGATTTCTGGTTCAGGAAAGCAGTTTTTCTAACGGACTTTTTTCAGATTTTTCTGATTGGAGCTAGATATGTACTTCCCACTTCAATGTAAGATCAGTGAATTAAGCAGCCTTCAGATACCTCATCAGTTTTTCTTCAAGTCATAAAATGAGCTGCTGTGTAGCTGTGCAATACAATATACTGAGAAGTAATTTAAGGGTTAATGTACTGTATTTACTATAAAGGTGACTTTTCCTCTTAATCTTGGAGGAAACAATGCAGAAATTAAAATTCTAGTAAAATCTTGAAAATTCTTATTTATCTAATTTTGGTGGACTTGACATTAGTACATTCTGTTTGGAGTTGTTCTTCCAAAGTTGTACCGATGAGCAGTATGACAGTCACTTGCATATCAGTGGTGCTACTGAAAAGCTGTAATGTGTGTTGCTGTTTGGTTTGAAGTATAGTTACTTAAATAACGGCCTGTGGAGAGCTGGCTGCCTCATCCCATGGTAAGAAAAGGAGGAGCTTGTAGCATCTATCAAATAAATTTTTTTTCAGACTACTTTTGTTTCAGTTTTCTGATGTGCTATACCTTTCTTTCCTCCCCCTCCATCAACTGCCACCTTCGGGATCAACTCAGTTCCTCCAAGATAAACAGCTGTAATTGCTACTTTAAATTTTCACTGCTCTGCTATAGAACTGAGTGCTGAGAACTGACTACACTAGCTGGGAAGCTACTAAATGCTTGGAGCTAGTAATTATAAACTTTGTCTCACTGGAGAAATTCAGTGGTTGCTGACTGCTGCTTTCTGTCACTTTGTGACCCCCTTTGAAGCCATTTACAACCCTTTATATATATAGCAATACTAGAAAAGCTCATAATTCTTCTGAAATTTGAGTATTTTCATATAATAAATCCTTTAAAATTTCATTTTTCCTGTAGGAATTTTTTGTGGCTTTACGACTTGTAGCATGTGCACAGAATGGATTGGATGTTTCCCTGAGTAGTCTTAATTTGCCTGTTCCTCCACCAAGATTTGTAAGATTTCTTTTTTAATTGAACATATCAACTCATTAATAAGAACTGCTTTTAAGTGAACAATTAGGAAGGTTTGATATAAATACCAAACACATCTGAAAGTGATGTTGTAGGGCAATAGGGCCCTACAATAGGGGAAAATTAAGCAATGTGGAATAAGAATAAGGTGCTACATGTTCTAGTGGGCATTTGAATATAAAAGTGTGTATAATTTGAATATATATGGTATTTGTTCTATTCGTGTTGTCCTTAGTGGAAGAAGCATTTTAAATTTCTTACTGTAAATTTTGGTATCCTTAACTAAGGTATGAGTTTAAATGAGGTTTAACAAGGCCAAGTGCAAGGTCCTGCACCTGGGTTGGGGCAACCCCTGGTATCAAGGGGGGATGGGGGATGAAGGGATTGAGAGCAGCCCTGCCGAGAAGGACTTGGGGTACTGGTGGATGAAAAGCTGGACATGAGCTGGCAATGTGCGCTCGCAGCCCAGAAGGCCAATCGTATCCTGGGCTGCATCCAAAGAAGCGTGGCCAGCAGGTCAAGGGAGGTGATTCTGTCTCTCTGCTCTAACCCCGGTGAGACCCCACCTGGAGTACTGTGTCCAGCTCTGGAGCCCTCAGCATAAGAAAGACATGGACCTGTTAGAGCGGGTCCAGACCTTATTGCAGCCAATCAGTACTTAAAGGGGGCTTATAAAAAAGATGGCAGCAAACTTTTTAGCAGGGCCTGTTGTGACAGGACAAGGGGGAATGGCTTTAAACTAAAGGGGGGTAGATTTAGACTAGATATAAGGAAGAAATTTTTTACGCTGAGGGTGGTGAAACACTGGCCCAGGTTGCCCAGAGAGGTGGTGGATGCCCCATCCCTGGAAACATTCCAGGCCAGGTTGGACGGGGCTCTGAGCAACCTGATCTAGTTGGAGGTGTCCCTGCCCATGGTGGGGGGGGTTGGACTAGATGACCTTTAGAGGTCCCTTCCAACCCAAACTATTCTATGGTGTTACGAAATTGCAGTTCTGGCTTTGAGAAGGAGCACCTTCTCAAATAAGGGAATGTTTTTGCAAGGTCAGAACCATTTCTCTTTTAATGTGGGTTTTTTTCCTGTTTTTCTTTAGACTGATACTAGTAGTCCTTTGCTACTCAGTGGAACAGTATCAAGTGATGTACCATGGGCTGTTAAGGTAAACTAAAGATCAGGCTATTACTTAGAACTATGATGTGGTTTGCAAGAAAACATAAGTCTGTTTGAGAAAAATATAATGCTACTGGTAGCTATAGTTTATAAAGTATGATAAATTACCATTCATGTCATGTCTGTAATCGGGCTAGTAGACCTAATTTGATAAAAACACTTGTCTTTTGGGAAATCTCTTTCTGTTTAGAAATTTGATTTATTGGGAATAGTTACCTGAAGCCATGAAAATAATTGAAGAATAAATCTCACTGGGTTTTGGATGAGTCTCTAGCTGACTTAGAAATAGTATCTTTTTCGTATTTTCTTTTAAACATCAGGAACTGCAATCTGTGTGTTTCCAACTGTAACTTTAAAAAAAAAAAAAAGTTAATACTTTTGAAAGAACTACTGCTTCTTAGCCTACAAGTGTGACTATCTCCATAAGTAATACTTTTCTTCTGCCCCTGCAGCTGGAAGACAAGGCCAAGTATGATGCTATTTTTGACAGCCTAAATCCTGTGAATGGACTGTTGTCAGGTGATAAGGTGAAACCTGTACTCCTTAACTCAAAACTGCCAGTGGATATCTTAGGACGAGTAAGAATATCTTTCTACTTAATTGTTAATTTACAAATAATAAGTGTGCTACACTCATCAATATCTGTTTTTCAAATTGAAGATTTGTAGTAAGAAGTGTAACTATTAAATACTATCTCATTGAGTGGCCACACATGTGTAACTGTTAAACTTAAAAAAAAAAAAAAAAAAAAAAATCTTTTGATATTTTGATAGATTGCCTCTTACCACAGTATATCAGTTACTCATACTCTTTAACACTTGATTTAGTGCAGGGTACCATTAGTGCACTCTGTCTCCAACTTAAGAATCTCTCTTCTTTTGCATGGTGTATATGAGTGTATGTTGCTCGCTGAAAACTACTGCTGTTAGTCTTAATAGAACTTAGGATATGGTGGAGTGAGGCTGTTCTCACATTTGTTTTTAATGAGGTTTTAAATAGGAAACTGCTGCAGTTTAGGCAAACATCCCTATGTTCTGCTTTTTATTGGTAGGTGTGGGAATTGAGTGATATTGACCATGATGGAATGTTGGATCGAGATGAGTTTGCAGTTGTAAGTATCTTCTGCCTCTTGGGATTTTGAAAGCCTAATGGCAGAGGTTTAAAATAGATGCACCGTGTATTAATTTTTGACTGTTTGTGTGGTTCATTTATTACCTTTATTCAAAGACCTTAATCAAGCTTTAGTACTAGTTAATGTTTCTGTCAGTTTATTGAAGATCTCTCATTACGCAGCAGTAACTTTCTTTGTGGGCTAAATGAGCCATTAAAAACTTAAACCCGTGATCTGCTGTCCCATGAGAGACCGAGTGATTTCACTAAGTAAATTTTACCTTAACCTTCAGTGTTTATAGTACTTGGATGCCTCAAGATACCTTTGAGGAAAATTTTAAAGAAATTATGTATAAATTCTTCAAAAGTTCATAGCAAGTTAGAATTTTAACACTATTAATGCCAGGACTGATGAAATAACGTAAGAAGCAGTAAATAAGTTTCACTTCTCCTAAGAGGTGGCAAGTGAGAAGAGAGTGGGAGGCTCTTGCTTTTGAAGACTCTCTAAGTCTTGAATGCAATAGTAACCATGCATCAACTTTTTCTCAAAACTTTCAGCTTGTTCTTTCATGTAAGTGAATTGGAGAGGAAGGAATTATACATTCGCTCTGGAGGAGAGGGTTTCATTTTACACAGAGAAATATCAAACCTAAGTTTAAGGTTTGGAAAAGCTAACAAAATATCTTAACTGCATTCTGCATTGCAAGAATCTTGAAAAAATAATGTGACCTCTCTGTCCTCAGGTGGGACTAAAGCCAGCCTTTAATTCTGATTTCTACAAACTAAACTATTGCTCATCCTTTCAGAGTCAAAATTAAGAAATAAAATAAAAAGAAAGTTAAAAATACCTGTTTAATTGCCAAGAATTGATATAATGGACAATGTCAAAAGCTTGCTTTATTTTTTTTTTGTAATGTAAATATGATGAATTTACCTTTTTTCTGCTGTCACGTATATTTTTGAGAAATGGTAAAAGTGTAGAACAGTATTCAAGAAAGCAATTTTTAGTCATCTCCAGGCACCTATATGCTTCAGTTTCTTCTGAAACCAATTTCTTTAAGACCCTAGTAGTTAACTGTTACTATACTTGATTTCCTGTGTTTATGCTGTAATGCTTCAGACTTTTAGCTTTGAGATCAGAGGATTGATATGCTCTAGGCAAATGTTGGAGATAAACTGATAATCTGTAAAGTGTTATTTATTTAAGATG